AAGGCTGCCCACTGTCTCCATATCTCTTCAACATAGTGCTGGAAGTCCTTGCTAGAGCAATAAGACAGTCGAAGGAGATCAAGGGGATACAGATGGGAAAAGAAGAAGTCAAATTATCACTATTTGCAGATGATATGATAGTATATATGAGTGACCCCAAAAACTCTACCAGGGAACTCCTACAGCTGATAAACACCTTCAGCAAAGTGGCCGGATATAAAATTAACTCAAAAAAATCAGTAGCACTCCTGTATACAAAAGACAAAAGGGCTGAGAAAGAAATTAGAGAAACAACACCATTCACAATAGCCACAAATGACATAAAGTACCTTGGTGTAACCCTAACCAAGCAAGTCAAAGACTTGTATGAAAAAAATTTCAAGTCTCTGAAGAAAGAATTAGAGGAAGATATGAGAAGATGGAAAGATCTCCCATGCTCATGGCTTGGCAGGATTAACATAGTAAAAATGGCCATCTTACCAAAAGCAATCTACAGATTTAATGCAATTCCCATCAAATTGCCAACACAATTCTTTACAGACCTGGAAAGAAAAATTCTCAACTTCGTATGGAATAACAAGAAACCGAGAATTGCTAAAACAATCCTCTACAATAAAAGATCTTCTGGAGGTATCTCCATCCCTGATCTCAAGCTGTACTATAGAGCAACAGTTATAAAAACTGCATGGTACTGGCATAGAAACAGAATGGTGGATCAATGGAATCGAACAGAAGACCCAGAAATAAACCCACACACTTACGGACACCTGATTTTTGACAAAGATGCCAAAACCATACAATGGAAAAAAAGATAGCATCTTTAACAAATGGTGCTGGTCCAACTGGATGTCTACATGTAGAAAAATGCAAATAGATCCATACTTATCACCCTGCACAAAACTGAAGTCCAAGTGGATCAAAGACCTCAACATAAAACCAGACACATTAAATCGGCTAGAAAAAAAAGTGGGGAATACCCTAGAACTCATTGGTACAGGAGAAAACTTCCTGAACAGAACACCAACAGCACAGGCTCTAAGAGCAACAATCAATAAATGGGACCTCATGAAATTGAAAAGCTTCTGTAAAGCAAAGGACACCGTCATCAAAACAAAGCGACTGCCTACAGATTGGGAAAGAATCATCACCAACCCTCTATCTGACAGAGGAATCATATCCAATATATATAAAGAACTAAACAAGCTGAAAAGCAACAAACCAAGTAATCCACTTAAAAAATGGGGAACAGAGCTAAAGAGAGAATTCTCTGCAGAGGAATATCGAATGGCAGAGAAGCACTTACAGAAATGCTCAACCTCATTAGCCATTAGGGAAATGCAAATCAAAACAACCCTGAGATTTCACCTTACACCCATCAGAATGGCCAAGATGAAAATCTCAAGGGACAACACATGCTGGAGAGGTTGTGGAGAAAGGGGAACCCTTCTCCACTGCTGGTGGGAATGTAAACTGGTACAACCACTCTGGAAATCAATCTGGCGCTTTCTCAGACAACTAGGAATAGCGCTTCCTCAAGATCCAGCCATACCACTCCTAGGCATATACCCAAAAGAGGCACAAGTACACAACAAGGACATTTGTTCAACCATGTTTGTAGCAGCTTTATTTGTAATAGCCAGAAGCTGGAAACAACCCAGATGCCCCTCAACTGAAGAATGGATGCAGAAACTGTGGTACATCTATACAATGGAGTATTACTCAGCAATGAAAAATAAGGAAATCATGAAATTTGCAGGTAAATGGTGGGACCTGGAAAGGATCATCCTGAGTGAGTTGACCCAGAAGCAAAAAGACACTCACGGTATATACTCACTCATATAAACATACAATATAGAATAAACCCACTAAAAGCTGTACATCTAAACAAACTAAGCAAAAGAGAGGACCCTAACTAAAATGTTCAATCCCCATCCTGAAAGGCAAAGAGGATGGACATCAGAAGAAAACGAAAATAGGAAACAACCTCGGAACCCGCTACAGAGGGCCTCTGAAAGCCAGAAGAAAACAGGAAACAACCTTGAAACCTGCCACAGAGGGCCTCTGAAAGCTTCTGCAGTATAGACTGTCAAAGCAGATGCTGAGCCTGATGGCCAACTGATGGGCAGAGTGAATGGAATTTTATGTAAGAAGTGGGAAATAGTAAGAGCTGGAGGGAACGGGAACTCCACAAGCAGAGCAACAGAACAAGATAATTTGAACACAGGGAACTTCCCAGAGACTCATACTCCAACCAAGGACTATTTGTGGAGATGACCTGGAACCCCTGCACAGGTGTAGCCCATGGCAGTTCAGTGTCCAAGTGGGTTCCATAGTAATGGGAAGAGGGACTGCCTCTGACATAATCTGATTGGCCTGCTCGTTGATCACTTCCCCCTGAGGGGGGAGCAGCCTTACCAGGCCACAGTAGAGGACAATGCAGCCACTTTTGATGAGAACTGATAGACTAAGATCAGAAAGAAGGAGAGGAGGACCTCCCCTATCAGTGGACTTGGGGAGTGGCATGCATGCAGAAAGGGAAAGGAGGGTGGGATCGGCAGGGGAGGAGGGAGGGGCTCATGGGGGGATACAAAATGAATAAAGTGTAATTAATAAAAAAAATAAAAGATTTAAAAAAAAAAAAAGTGACTCCACCATATGGGTGGTGATGGCACGTGCCTTCAATCCCAGCACTCAGGAGGCAGAAGCTTGTAGATATCAGGAAATTAGAAATGAGCTCATGAGAAGGGGGAGGGGCTGGAAGAGAAGGGAGTAAAGAGGGTAATAGATCACAGGTGTGGATGAGGAAGAAGCATGCTTAGAAGGAAGGGTTTAGTTGGGAATGGAGGACAAGGAGACGGGATGAAAGGAGAGGGTATGTAGGGAAAGCTAACTAAAACTCACTATGCATAAAAGTTCAAGGACAGCTTGATCTACAGAGTAAATTCTGGGCTAGTCAGAGCTACACAGAGAAACAAATCCTATCTTGAAACAAGACAAAATAACAACAAAAAGTGATTCCTGTTTCCGTAACATTATATGGCAGAGAACTTTTTGTGCTTCAGTGAAAAACTACATTATCTGCAGCACACTGTGGGGAGGCTGTTTTTGACTCAATAGCAACTATTTCACAGCGCTGTAAGCCATAGACAACTACTAACAATGCAACATTCATGAAAACCAACTGTCTGGCTGAGACACTGACCCTGTTCCACCATGGAAAAACCAGTTTTGCTTCCATTTGCCATTCACTAAAATATGCCTGACCTATACATGTGTCTGTTTTTGAGGGCGCAGCTCTGAACAAGCTGTAATGTCTTCCCAGGTTCTCTTATTAATAACTTAAATATAATTTTAATGACTACTTTGTATATGTTTGAGAGTCATGATTTCATCTTTATCTTTTTTAATTGGCTCACAGAGCAGCAGGCTTCCTGATGGTGGTTTTTATGCATAGTGAGTTTCAGTTAGCTTTCCCTACATACCCTCTCCTTTCATCCCGTCTCCTTGTCCTCCATTCCCAACTAAACCCTTCCTTCTAAGCATGCTTCTTCCTCATCCACACCTGTGATCTATTACCCTCTTTACTCCCTTCTCTTCCAGCCCCTCCCCCTTCTCATGAGCTCATTTCTAATTTCCTGACCTCCAACACACACTCACTATACATACATTAAAATTAGGGGCTAGAGTCTGTTTTACTTTTTATCTTTATTTTTTTGAAAATACTTTTACATTGATTTATTATTTGTGTGTATATGTACACAGGTTTGCCATGGAGCACTTGGAGAGATTAGAGGACAATATGCAGGAGCCAGTTCCCTCCTTCCACCATGTGGGCCCTGGGACTTGAACTCAGGTCCTCAGGCTTAGAGGCAAGTGTCTTTACCATATGGAGCCATCTGACAGCCCTGTGGGTCTACTTTCTTATGATGAAGATTGTGTCCAAGGCCTTGACCACGCTGATCATGCCCTCTGCTACCAAGGCACACTCTCGGCCTCATGACTTCATTTCTAAGAATTAACTTTTAACACAAAAATGAACACAATGCACAAAAATGAATCCCAGGGATAGACTGAAGCTCAGATGGAGTGTTTATGTAGCGTGCAGAAAGCCCTGTGTTCAGTCTCCATTATCACGTAAGTCAGACTCGGGTGGCACACACCTGTGATCCCGGCACTTGGGAGGTAAAGGCAGGAAGATCAGAAGCTCGTGGCCATCCTCAGCTGCATGGAGAGTTTAAGGCCAGGGACCAGTGGGGTCGCGGAGCGAGCAGCAATGTTTGCAGCCAAGCCTGACAACCAGAGTTTGACATCTAGGAACCGCATGGTTCAAGGACGGAACTGACTCCTACATGTTACTCTGACCTCTACATGCATGCCTACACACACCTATGTTCACACAGACACACATATAAATAAATATAATTGTACAAAGAGGAGAAAAAAGAAAAGAATCCGAGGGAAAGAAATTCCAGGTGGCTTGCTAACCTTGACGGGACAAGGAAAGCCATAAAAAGTTCATTATTAAAAAAGAACATATTCATGACTTTGAGACTTCAAAGACATTTTTTTAGACATGGCACAAAGTACCAGCCATGAAAGAAAAATCTGGTAACTCAAACTGATTAAACTTAGGAGCGTCTTTTTTTGGCAAGCAATGCCACTGAGTGTAAAAGGAGTGGGCCAAAAGTTGGACAAGACATGTGTGTTACATTGCTTTGCATTGCCTTTCATTTAAACAGGATCTCCTCCCATTGTCCAGGTTGCCCTTGAACTTACTATGTAGTACAGGTTGCCTCAAACTGACAGTCCTCCTGCCTCAGCATCCTATCCCTGAGATAAAAAAATATTACCAAGAAGACAGGAAAAGAAAAAAAGTATATAAAAGACATTCACAAGTATATCACAAATATCTTGCCTGTATGGCAGAAGGAAAGATCATTAGATATTGGGAAATTATAAACTTAAACCACTGCTTGACACCCCCCCC